ATCTATGAGAGGCATCCTTGGATATTGTGCCTGCCATAGATGCAGGCAAAACGTCTGGAGAGAATGGTTCTAGAACATGGTCATACAGCCCGAAAAACTTACAACAACCCAGTTATTCTGGCCATGAACACCTTCGACAATACATTAATAGTTAGGTTTTCCCTCCCTTTCCAATGTAAATATGATTGACTCAAATTTGAGCTCAGCAACAAGTAACTGACTGCATTAATCCTTTTCTACTGACTTTCCTGCTTCTGCATTTGCTTGCCTTAAATCTCATTTGCCACTTCACTACTTATGACCTCATCACATGGAGCATTTTTACCGTCGTAGGACACTTCATCACCATTTCAAGGACGTAGAGGCACAGAGCCCATCACATGGCGTTTATCTACTTATGGCCATCATCCGTTGCCCTTCATCCTTGAAATGGAGATGGAAAGTTCTGAAAGGAGGGAATTCAGAACACAGTGGGTGGAGAAGTAATACAGAAAGGTGGAGAAAAGGATTCCCTGTGTGATGGTTCTGGATGCAGGCAACAATAGGTGAAAACCTGAAGAGAAAAACATGTGTGATGGGAAGATAGAACTTGAAATGGCACAATTGAGAATCTAACTGTATGCTTTCCTTTGCTAGACAGATGGTCCCCAATGCTTCTCAAGGTCCTTATAATGAGGCTCTGTTAGAAAGTATTGTTTGGAGCATGAACACTGACGATCCCAAGCATGCCATTCCAAATACAAAAGCACCTATTCCCCAAAAGGTCATTGATCACACCCTTCCTTGGAAGAAGCGACAGTTTATTTCAATGCCCTCCTTCCATTCTTTGATCAGGTTTCAGCTCATATCCCACAAGTCTAACTAAACAATACTGGGTTCACTCCTGCTCATTTGTTTATTTTTGCTTCAAGATTCTGTTAAAAAGAAGTCATAAAACAAGTTTTGCAGAAGCCACGTGCATTCTTTGCAACAGAGACTTCACTATGCTTGCCAGTTTTTTTTAATGATGTCAACCTAACCTGCTTGTTATTTCCTGGGTCACCCTCGTTCAACCTCTTTGGATTGTAGTTTAGGTAGAGGGCTTGAATATTCTCAGCCAGAGAGGTCCTGGCCCTCACTAAACTACAAATCACGGAATTCTGTAGGAGGTAACTGCAGTATATAAAGCAAGATGCCAACTCTATACCGACCATTTAAAGTGTAGTTTGAGGATGCACAGTTGTTTCAAATGAAAACAGATTTTCTCCATCTTGTGAATTCTAAACATGCTTCCTATCATCTTCAGAAAGTGGGTTTTGCAATGCAATGAGAAAAATACGTCTATTAGGAATCAGCCTGTGTTTGTGTTTCAGGATCCTGATGTGGGAAATGATGAGGGAAATGATGAGAGAAATGATGGTGCCAAGGCTGAGGTACAAGATGGAGATGGTTTGGTCAATGATTTTCATGCAAACAATGACAGAGAGGCCCCAGTGCAAAGGGCAGTTTCTCATGAGAATATTCCTGCTGGGCCTAGCAATGATGGTTCACTCCTTCTCTCTGTGAGCTCTCAGGATTTGGGTTTGGAAAACAATCTGACACCTGGGAATTTTAATGAGCAGCCAGATAGTGAGCTGAAAAATAGGCGGCTGGAGATTAGCCAGGATCGAACTCAGTGTTTACGTCGCTTTGAAAGGCTTCGCCTGATAAGGGGTAAATGTGGGGAAAGTGAAACCAATTTCTGAGTTTTGGGATTTAAGGTTTGCCTCATGGGGAAACCTGTTAGATCAGGCATCATTTGGAAATCAAGTTCATGTGCCATGGAAATTCTGTTCAAGGGGTCTTGTTCTTGTGGAGTTTTTTTAGCTTTTTGGATTGTCTTTGCATTCTGTTGATTCCTGTCTGGATAAAAGCTAGAAAACTTTAAAGTATAGCTTTCTCTTTTCAAAAAAATATAACATTAAAAAAATTTAAATCAACCCCCTCCCACAACCCCACCATATTCAAATTTGAGTGTATTGGGTATTTGTGCCAAATATGGTCCAGATCCATAGTCATTTGGGTTCACAGTGCTCTCCAGAGGTAGATGAACTATATCTCCCCTAAATCACTGTCAGTTCCTCTCAAATCACTCCAATATTTTCTGTTGGTCATGGCGGTTCTGTGTGAGAGGTTTGGCCAAATTCTATCATTGGTGGGTTTCAAGGGGATCAAACTGGTGCCAAACTCCACCAGTGTTCACATTTGGGCATATTGAGTATTTGTGAAAGTTTGGTTCAGATCCATAATTGTTTGATTCCACAGTGCCCTCTACATTATGATTCATAACAGTAGCAAAACTATAGTTATGAAGTAGCGATGAAAATAATTTTATGGTTGGGGGTCACAACAACGTGAGGAACTGTACTAAGGGGTCGCAGCGTTAGGAAGATTTAGACACACTGATGTAGAGAAAAGAAATACTTTTTTTCCATGCAAGATTCAGTGTTCCTGGTAAAGGTTATAGAAAGTTTTATCAAGACATGAGATTGCATTACTAAAGATAAGCTGAATTACTATGGAATTCTCAGGTCAATGTAACCAAAGATCCAACAATGTCTAACTCTGCTTCAAAGCATTAATCGCAACTGCATTTTTTTAATTAAGGAAATGCCTTCTTCTTTTGGCACAACATTTAGGCAGCTGATTTAAGATTTCCAAAGAAGTTCAGTGGAGCTCAAACACACCTCTTCTTGTGAAGAGAAAAATCAACCTGAGCATTGTTTATGTTTCAGCTTACTCATGAGTTCCTTGGAAGCCGAATTAGACAACTTTGATTGCTAAGGCATTTTGAGTGAAGGTGGTGGGAAGATAAGCTCTAGCTAAAATGAACAAAACATATAGGATTTTTATAAAGGTAGGTCTTTGTGTGTTCAAACATGATAGAAGTACATCAAATTGTATCTGGTATAGGGCAAATGGATATAGGTTTTCTGCTCTTTTGAGACTTTATTGTGTAAACACACTATTTTGCAATTCCAGCTTTCAAAAACAATCAATCAAACAATCCATCAAACAACAAATGGAGAATATACGAGAGATATCCAGAAACTCCAAAACCTCTGGACTAATTGCCACCAAATTTGTCACAAGACACCTACTAACCCAAGGAGTGACCATCACTCAAAAAATTGGTTTTGTCATTTGGGAGTTGTAGTTGCTGGGATTTATAGTTCACCTACAATCAAAGAGCATTCTGAACTCCACCAACGATGGAATTGAACCAAACTTGGTACACAGGATTCCCTTGACCAACGGAAAATACTGGAGGGGTTTGGGGGGAATCAACAGTGATTTAGGGGAGAGCATGCCTGCTCTCCCTTCCCCACTTGGAGTCTCAGAAACAGCCTTCCCCTTAGAGAGGGTATGGACATACTGGAGGGATTTCACGGGACTGACCCAACATGGTGGGAGCTGTAATTCATCCTGCAGCTGGAGAGCATACTGAACTACACCGATGCTGCATCTACAGCAAACTTGCCTAACATGACAAACTTTAAGTATTGATGGAGTTTCTGGGAGTTTATCTGGCATGATATGAGTTGTAGTACACCCATAACTTCTTCTAATGACCTGGGCAATACCGAGTACCCAAGCTAGTATAAAATAAAAGGAAAATGAACAGCAAGTGAGAAGTAGGGAGGGAGAGAATCCCACCCCTGATGTTGCTGCTGGCATGCTGGGATAGAAGTGGAAAGGACTCATTGCACCAAGGAAGGTGACGGGAATGTTATGGGATTGGCAACTATTAATAGGTTTTACCAGCCAATAGTGAGGGATGGGACAATCACAGGGAGGAGACAGACTATCAGAGAGATGCACATGGTGTTCTGCGATACGTAACAGCCATGCTTTGGTGATGGTCCAGATTCAATGCCAGTTTGCCTGTTTCATGCAGTAAAGTCCTCAGTCTCACACTAGAATGTAGGGCCATTCTGTGAAGATGAATGAGAGGAACATCAGACCAGACAAAATTAACCATGTCTCCACACAACACATTATTTAGTGATGGAATCTGCTACTGCTAACTTCTGACTGTAAGATGGGGTGAGGGCGGTTCCACACAGGCTGCTATCCCAGGAGAATCTGTGTTTAAAAAACATGGATTTTCATGGGGGCCTGTTTACACATACCCCAGAAAGCATGTGCTTTCTGGGGTGGGTGTCCAGACATTCTCCCGGGACTAGCTCGGGAGAACGCCTGGAGGTTCTACCCCACTCCCCTGAAGCCCCCAGATCCCTTTGAAAGGTAATGAAAACTTACCCGGCCTCCATTACAGGCTTGGAGCAGCTCTTCCGGTGTGTAGAAATGATACGCTAAGAGCAATTTCCCTCCCCCCCTGCTCTCTTGGTTCATCATTTCTACGCACCGGGAGAGCTGCTCCAAACGTGAAATGGAGGCCAGGTAAGTTTTCACTACTTTTCAAAAAGGTCTGGGGACTTTAGGGGAGGGGGTGGGTATTCCCACAGTTCAGGGGCGGGGGTGGGTACTCCCACAGTTAACTGGGCTTATTTAGCTCAGTAAACCGTGGGAATGGTGTCTGGACTGTAGTAGTCCAGACACCGAAAGTACTGGGTTTATCCCATGCCTTCCAAGAAGGCACAAAATAAATCCCCTATCTAATTAATTCACCACAAACCAATGTTTTCTTGATGTGTGGTGAATTAATTTGGGGCTGTCCACTAGATGTTCCGGCTCCCTTTTTGTCTGCTGCCTCATTATTAAAAGTGAGCCAAAAAGAGGTACTTTGCAATTCATTACCAATTTTAAATTGGCTCATAAACTTTCAGCCCTTCCCTTTGTTTACACAAGTTCTGACCTTTTCTTTGGAAATTAAAGAGATGTGTTGACTTTGAAGTTGTCTCGTTTCTTTAGAAAAAGAGCATGATTGACATATTCGGGGTCGGATGAAGGTGCTGTACTCTGATTGGATGATAGCATCTGGACATTTGGACACCCTCCCTTTCAGAGCTGCATATAAGCTGTCTTCTTCGTACTTGTCTCACAACAGAAAGCAGCTGTAAACAGCACTAGAAGAACTTCCACCACAGTCTTTGAAACCATGGCACAGACTCAAAAGGAGAAGTTGGTAAGATTTTTTTTTTTGCTTTTTCTTGACTTCTCATTCCATGTTTGTGGAGGAGACAACCTTTTGCTAGAAGAGATGGTGAAAAGTTGGGCTTTGCTGGATTTGCTTCTTTATGAAACAGCCCATGTAGTTAAATGAATATGGGTGGTAATAAATTCTTCATTGATTTTATTAATAGACCCAAGGACCCTATAGGGGAAACTCTAGTGCAGTGAAAAACAAGAATTTATCCAGGTAAGCATAGACAGGGACAGCAGGAGGAAAAAGGCTGCACACAACCATGGAGCAGGTCAGCTTTGGACTGTCAGATCATAGAACAGTGTTTCTCAACCTTCCTAAGACGCGTCACAAACTAGCCTCCTGCGGGAGCAAACTGTGCGAGCACGTCCCTGACGTCATGAGTCTCCCCCTCTCTCCCCGCCCCTTTCTCCGCCTCTTTCTCCGTGCCAGAGTGGTTTTTCCTTTGCTAGGGCAGCATTGCCAGTGTACTCTCATTGTTGAATTCTGCCAACAACGAGAGTACGCTGGCAATGCTGCCCTAGCAAAGGAAAAACCACTCTGGCACGGAGAAAGAGGCGGAGAAAGGGGCGGAGAGAGAGGCGCAGGCTCATGACGTCAGGGACGTGCTCGCACAGTTTGCTCCCGCAGGAGGCTAGTTTGCGGCGGCTCTAATGCTGCAACCCCTTGATACAGTTCCTCATGTTGTGGTGACCCGCAACCATAAAATTATTTTCATTGCTACTTCAAAACCTTAATTTTGCTACTGTTATGAATCATAATGTAATGCAAGGCAAGATGCATTTTCATTCACTGGACCAAATTTGGCACAAATATCTGATATGCCCAAATTTGAATACTGGTGGGGTTGGGGGGGGGTTGAATTTGTCATTTGGTAGTTGCAGGGATTTATAGTTAACTTACAATCAAAGAAAATTCTGAACTCCACGAACAATGGAATTGAACCAAACTTGGCACACAGAACTCCCATGACCAACAGAAAATACTGGAAGGGTTTGGTGGGCATTGACCTTGAGTTTTGGAGTTGTAGTTCACCTACATCCAGAGAACACTGTGGACTCAAACAATGATGGATCTGAACCAACTTGGCACGAATACTTTGGGGGGAGCTGAGTTTGATTCAAGGGGGGGGGGGCTGAGTCTGAGTGAAAGAGGGTCTACCCTAGCAAACCTTTTGTATCATTACCCCAATACCCCCATGCATATGAGATATATTGAGCATGGTGATCAGATCATTATATGAATAAACATAACAGTTTAAATAATGTACCAGTAAGGCCTTTTCGCAGACCACCATGAGAATTTCGGGGGGGGGCTGAAGCCCCCAAAGCCCCCCCCCCCCCCCCCCCCCCGGCTACATGCCGGATCTGGATCAAACCTGGATCATACCTGGATCAAACTTGGCACAAATACTCAATATGCCCAAATGTGAACACTGGTGGATTTTGGGGAAAATAGATCTTGACATTTGGGAGTTAGTTGCTGGGATTTATAGTTCACCTGCAAAGAATATTCTCCTCCAACAATATATTGGGCCAAACTTCCCACACAGAACCCCATGACTAACAGAAAATACTGCGTTTTCTGGTGGTCTTTGGTGACCCCTCTGACACCCCCTCACGACCCCTCAGGTGTCCCGACCCCCAGGTTGAGAAACGCTGTCCTAGAATAAAGGGCAATTGCTAGTTTAGTGCATTTTATTATTTATATTAAACCTTTCATTGAAAGGTGGCATTTCTTTGGCAGGTGATGAGACTGAAGATGCATTAACATCATAGAATTCATGCAGCTTGACATCCCTTTTATTGACATATGTCAATGGTATGGAAACATGGGAGCTGTACTTTCTAGTGCTGCCAGAGCTTTCAGACAGAAAAGGGTAAAATACCTCAAAGAACTATAAACCGCATGATTCCATGGCATTTAGACATGACAGTTAAAGTGGTGTCATGCTACATTACTTCTGCAGTTTAAATGCACTCAGTACAGACAAACACCCGACTTACAAATGACTCATAATTAAGAACAGGGATAGGACAACAGGAAGTGAGAGAAATCTACCACTAGGAAGGGAAATTAACTCCTGAAACTTATCATGGGGAAAAGGTGTCTTGACTGAAGCTTCATCATCCATCCTTGTTTCTACAACAAGCCACATTTTTCAAAATTCAATTATTCATATCTCAAGGCGATAACTGCATTTCGTTTGCTGCATCTTGGATTTGCAACTTTGCATCACATTGCTAGCATCTGCTTCATGGTCTATATTCACAACTTGAAACTAACAGGTTTACTTTTACCTCTACCTTCTTTTAGGATGTCCCTTATTGCACTGAGTTCTCAGATGGATTTGGCAAAGGAAAAATTGTAAAGATCCGAGGTTCTGTGCTCAAGGATGGGAAAAGGTAAATTTCTTCATTGCTTCAGAAGTGTGGGTGATACATGCACAAATGAGGCTTACAATGGGTGCTACAGTAATGATTTCTCCTAAGGAAATGCTGGGAAAAGTTTTGCATGGATGCAGTTACTGTCACTTTCATCAGACAGAAACTTATCCATAACTTCAACCAGTTGCAAATCTCATGAGGCTGAATCAGCCACAACAATGTTAGATTTTTTTTTATCTCACCATGAATCAGAAAGCTTAAAGCCATGATACATACATGCTGACCACTTTTTGAGGTTCTCCTAGCTTTGCCTCATACACTTCTTCCTGGAAGATATTCTCTTTCTGTATAAAAACTAGAAACGTATAAAACAATGGTTCCCAATATTTGGTTCTCCAGGTGTTTTGGACTTAAGCTCCCAGAAATCCCAGCCAACTTATCAGCTGTTAGGAATTGTGAGAGCTGAAGTCCTCCTTCAGCAGGAGGACTAAAGGCTGGGAATTGGTATTAACCCCCCCCCCCCAAAAAAAAAAAAACCAAGATTCAAAAGAGTTGGAATCCTATGTCCAGTATGATTGCCCAAGTCTCTTTAGTGACTGTTTAGGACAGTGTTTCTCAACCTGGGTGTCGGGACCCCTGAGGGGGTTGCGAGAGGGTGTCAGAGAGGTCACCAAAAACCATCAGAAAACAGTATTTTCTGTTGGTCATGGGGGTTTTATGCGGGAAGTTTGGCCCAATTCTATCATTGGTGGGGTTCAGAATGCTCTTTGAATGTAGGTTCACTATAAATCCCAGCAACTACAACTCCCAAATGACTAAATCAATCACCCCCAATCTCACCAGTATTCAAATTTGGGCATTTGTGCCAAATTTGGTTCAGTGAATGAAAAGACATCCTGCATATCAGATATTTACAATACAATTCATAACAGTAGCAAAATTATAGTTATGAAATAAGAATGAAAATAATTTTATGGTTGGGCATCTCCGCAACATGAGGAACTGTATTAAGGTGTCGCAGCACTATGAAGGTTGAGAAGCATTGGTTTAGAAGGAGGAGTTTCAGCAGAAGTAACAGGCAATGCCTGCCTGGAATTCCCTCTTCTATACAACTATGAAATGCAAAATTTCCCTTGGGTAACACTATTAATCAATCACTGCTTTGTCTCTCTGTCAGTTTTGCTGTAAGTTTCCTGTGCGGAAAGGAAGAAAAAGCCGACAATGCCTTGTTGGTTTTGGTCAAGTTGGATGGCTCAAGTGAGATGGTGTTGAACAGCTTCCTGAATAAAAACTTTGGAAAGGAAGAAAAGCATAGCAAACTCCCTTTTGCTAAAGGGCAGGAGTTTCAGCTGGACTTTATCTTTGAAGAAGAGGCCTGCAAGGTATGAATATGATGAATGAGGAGTGTTTGTATGAGCCTTCAAACAATGGAAAGGCAACTAATACTCACTTTTCCAGTGCATAGATAAGGTAATGGAGACCAGTTGAAATCCCCTGCCAGGTCATTGAATTTTTCTTCCTTTTCTAAGACAGGGGGAAGAAATTTATAAACATTCATAGGCTGTATATAAAGTCTGTAGGGCACTGAGATGTTGGGTCATAGCACTTACGCATGCGAGAAAGACATCTCAAAATGTCATGAAATGATGTTTATTATTAAGAAGACCAACATATTTTGGGCTTTTCTGGGAGGTGTGTGTGTGGAGACATTCAACATCATAAAATACAGAACCAATATGTTAACTGTACATTTCAATGGAACTATACATACTAACTAAAATTAGCTCTCTGCCAATGTATCTGTCCCTTCAACAATAGCTAGATGGCTTTTAGATACATTATTACAATGAGTTCCTAATAAGAAGCCCAGAATCTGGGAGCTTTCAACTGCCTTAGTACACTTATGTACCACGGCAGACCTTGCATACAGGAAGCCTCCTACATTTTGGGCACTGTGTCATAGGACACTCGCACATCAGTTGAGCTACAGTGTCTCGATGGAAGTGAGCTGGCATCATCTGATGTATGGTGTGGGGCTCCATGGCTCAACTGGGAACTAAGCATCTTATAACTGTTGAAGACTCATCGGATGGGGTCATAAGCCTATGGCAGACAAGATAGGTCCCTTGCCTTGCCTTTAGCTGACAGATGGTGGCATTTTCATTTCCAACTATCTTTGTATGGCCTGGAGGATAAAGAAGACATAGTTTTCATGTTCCGCACAAAAACAAATATTATTTCTTCTTCATTTGTATATTCCTTAGAACAGCTAGATGGCTTTTAGATACATTCTTACGAGTTCCTTATAAGGAAGCACAGAACCTGGGAGCTTCCAACTGCCATGATACACCTATGAACCAAGGCAGACCTTGCACACAGAAAGCCCCCTGTGTTCTGGGCACAGTGTCATAGGACATTTGCACCCCGGTTGAGCCATAGAACCTCGATGGAAGTGAGCTTGTATCATCTGATGGGTAGTGTGAGGCTTTGTGGCTCAACTGGGAAGAAAGCATCCTATGACTCCGCTGAAGACTCATCTGATGAGGTCATATGAGGTCCCCTCCTTTGCCTTAGCTGTCAGGTGGAGACATTTTCATTTCCAACTATCTTTGTATGCCTTGGAGAAGAAGATATAGTTTTTATGCTCCACACAAAAACAAATACCATTTCTTCATTTGCATATTTCTTGGAACAGCTAGATGGCTTTTAGATACATCCTTACAAAAAGCTCCTAATAAGGAGCCCAGAACCTGGGAGTTTCCAGCTGCCTTGGTACACCTTGCACAAGGAAGTGCAGTATACTTGTACTTGGTATGTTATAGAGACTTCCATTAATAGAACCTGTGGTTAGGCCGGCGTGAGCCACCTGGAATACCATAGCCAAAGATTGCAGCATCAGTCAATTCTCTGTGGTTGCTCCCACACTCTGGAACTCCATCTACAGGAGGCTAAAGTGGTGCCTTTCCTTGCCTTTCCCCGGAAGGTGGAGACATTTTTAAGGAAGTGTTATATGTTTTGCATACCTTTTAACTTTGATATGTTTTAATTGCTTTAAAAGTTGTATTTTCATATGATTTTCATTGTTTTTAGATTGTGTGATAAATGTTTTTAATGTATTTGTTTTCAAAAGCCACTTTCTCTGGCAGAAGTGTGGCATGAAAAACAAACAAACAAACAAATAAATAGTCCCTGTTCCCTGACATTGTAGGTGGTGGTCAATGAGGAGGAGACCTTCCAACATAAATATCGCATCCCTGCTGAGAAAATACGCTTCCTGCAAGTGGAAGGAAATGTGGAGCTGGAGTTCGTCAGGCTGCAGGATGAAAAGGATAACCAGCCAGAAGATAAGAATCAGTCAGCTGGCATGCTGCATTGCTACAGGCCCTGTGTGCCATATCCATGTTGCCGACCTTGCCCTCCATGTGTGACATGGTATGGTTGCTGTTAATGCACTCCATGTTGCTGTGGTTGTGTCGCATATTGATGATTTTATGGCACAATAAAATAATTGGGGGAACTTGGCTAATCATCTGTCATGTGAACCTGCGTACTTACATTTTGTCACCTACCTAATCTATTCCAACAGGGAAAAAATTTGATTCCTATAAGATTCTCCTCACTCTATCTCAAGTTCTTTGAATATGAGAATACTTGTCTTGATACATGAATAAACAGCATTGTTTTCTGATCTAAATGACAGAGATTGGTCTGTATTTTTTCGGGGAGGGAGTGTCTTTTGGAACTGAGACAAACAGTAGGAGCAAATGATAACATTTTAGAATCCTGAAGGAGTATGAACTCAAATTGTAAATTGTATTTGCAAAAGCAACACCTTGAATTCGTTGCAACTGATTTGGTGACTCTTTAATAAATTAGTCTTTCATTACTACGGAGCTCATGTGGTGACAGCAGCCATTGCATTTCAATCTGGTTTTAAAATATAATTAATTCATTGACTACATTTCAACCCCTCTTACACATTTCTAAATGATGCTCAAAACACCCAAGAGTAGTAACATCGTTTCTTTTACTGCACTGACTCCAAAAGTCTCTCAAGTTGCCACCATACTTTGGAGCACCCCGTTTTATAACCTCTCTTCTTGGAAGCATTTTGAGGCTGTTATGCTTCTCATTTTGGTCATTCCCACTGAGCAGTTGTCACTCAAGATCTCTGTCAATCCAGTGTGTTGTCTCTCATAAGTGTACCTTAACCCATAGAAAATCAGAATGGTGTGAAGAAAGGGCACAAACTTAGAGGGTGGACTCCGCCAGGAGACAGGGAGGGGAAACGACCCAGATAAGGAAGAACTGTGATAGAGACAGAACAGGTAGTCCAAGGGATGAACTGAAGGAGGTTCTGGTGAATAATAATAATAATAATAAGAATAATAATAATTTTAATTTTGTACCCCACCTCCATCTTCCCAAAGGGACTCAGGGCAGCTTACATATGGCACAATGTGCCAAGACAAATCAGAAAATAAACACACAATAAAATACAATAAAGTAAAAACTATATATATTAGGGCTGGGCGGTTTCGTTTCGTTAATTCGTAATTCGTTAATAATTTGTTAATTTTTTCAATTACAAAATGATAACGAACCATTCTGGAGCAATTATTAAAAAAACGAATTTTCAAAAACGTTTTGTAAATGCTTCGTATTTCGATATTGTATTCGTTTCGTTATTGTTTTGAGGTCGTTTCGTTATTATTTCCGCATGTCTGGGCCAGTTTTATGGTTTAATTAGTGAAAAAAAATTATAATATCACACCAACAGTCAACAACAGAGGGAGAGGGAAGCTTCAGAAGGTTTTGGAGGTTTTTTAGCGTATTTCGCGGTCGCGTCCGCCATTAACGAATCAATTCGTTATTGTTTCGGAAATCGATTCGTTAATTTTTTACCATTTACGAAATTTCATAAATATCGAACTTTTTAAAAGGAAAATTTTGTAATTATTTTAAATATCAAAACAAAAAAAAAACCCCAAATACAAATCGATTTTAGAAACAAATTTTTCCGTTGTTACCCAGGCCTAATATATATATCAGGTCAAACTCAGAACGATGCCCAATGATCTATGGTGCCAACTACTGTAAGACATGGCTAAACTGTAAACAAGACAAGGGAATGGGATAGTGCAAATTGTAGCTAAGGAACAGGGCATGAGATAAAAGTGTGGTGCTGTGTCATTGATTGCGGACCTTTGGGCTAGATATTCTCAAAAGCTTGTTTAAACACTCAAGTCTTCTGATCCCTTTGGAAGAAAGACAGTGTGAGGGCTAATCTCCCTGGGTAAGGCATTCCCAAGACAGGGAGCCACCAACGAGGAGGCCCTCTCCCTCATTCCTACCAACCGTGCTTGTGATGGTGGTGGGACTGAGAGGAGGTCCTCCCTGGCAGATCTCAACGCTTGAGCAGGTACATAGGGGGAGATGTGGTCACTAAGATAGTCAGGGCCTGTACTATTTAGGGCTTTATAGGTAATAACCTGCACCTTGAAGAAACTTATCAGCAACCAATAGAACTGGTTTAATAGGAGCATTGTGTGTTTCTATAGCCAGCTCCAGTTAGTACTCTGGCTGTTGATCTTTGTACCAATTACAGTTTTCAAGCCATCTTCAAAGGCATCCCCACGTAGAGTACATTACAGTAATTCAATCTTGATGTGACTAAGGCATGGACCACTGTGGCCAGTTCTGACTTCTTGAGGTACGGTCACAGCTGGTGCACAAGCTTTAATTGTGCAAAGACCCTCCGAGCCAGCGCCGGCAACTGATCTTCAAGCATCAGCACTGAATCCAGGAGGACCCCCAGACTGCAGATCTGTATTGACAGGGGGAGTGTAACCCTGTCAAGTACAGGCAGCCACTCTATATCCCGGTTAGCCTTGTGACTGACAAGGAGGACCTCTGTCTGGTCTGGGTTAAGCTTCAGTTTGTTAGCCTTCATCCAGTCCTTCACAGCTGCCAGGCACTGGTCCAGAATCTGAGGGGCTTCCTTGGAGTTAGGTGGAAAGGCGTAGTAGAGTTGTGTGTCATCTGCGTACAAATGCCACCAAACTCCAAAACTCCAGATGAACCCTCCCAGCAGTTTCATGTAGATATTAAAAAGCATGGAAGCTAGAATGGAACCTTTTGGAACCATTCTAGGTCAAAGTGCAGGGGTCTGAGCAGCACATCATGAATAATGAATATTTAAATAATTCAGGGGTTAATGTGTGGTCTCACAGTGTATTAATGAACATCTACTTTGTTATCTTTTTCTTGCAACTGTGACTGGTTGTTCCTGTTATTGCTTTAAAAAATGATTATTTAAAATAAAGATTTACAAATATTTTAAGTACACCAAATTTTATTACAATAGAGTCTTGCTTATTCAAACTTCACTCATCCAATGTTCTGTATTATCCAATGCAGACTTTCTCCTGTCCGGAATAGTGTCCAGGGTGGGAGAAAGAAAGAACTCTTGACTGTTTTGGTGCTAAATTCGTAAATACAGTAATTACTACATAGCGTTACTATGTGTTGAACTGCTTGTTCTGTCGATTTGTTGTAAAACATGATGTTTTGGTGCTTAATTTGATGTTTAATAGGCTTTTCCTTAATCCCTCCAGCCCAGTTTACCTGTGCAAAGTGTCTCCCCCTATGAACAATCAAGGAATTTGAGATCATCCGGGGGGGGGGGGGGCTGCTCTCGGTCCCACCACCATTGCAGTCACATTTGGTGGGGATGAGAGACAGGGCCTTCTTCATGGTAGCCCTTCAGCTATGGAATTCCCTCCCTAAGGAAGTTAGATCTGCCCCCTACRTCTTGACCTTCTGGAAGAAACTTAAATCCTGGCTTTGGGAGCAAGCYTTTGCAGATTAGATTGATTTTACTGGCAATGTTGAGATTTTATTGGACCACAATTTGGATGGATTTGGACAACGTTTTAACCTGGTGAACTGTTTTAATGTATATTGATATGTATTTTTTAGGCATTTGACTGTATTTTATGATTTGRTTTATTGRTTCGGCATCAAATTGTTGCCTGCTTGTAGCCGTCTTGAGTCCCTCCTTGGAGGTCYAGAAAGGACGGGATATAAATGTTCCGAATAAATTAAATTAAATAAATTTTCACTTATCCAATGTTCTGCCGGTCTGTTTATGTTGGATAAGTGAGACTCTATTGTATAACCAAKAAACTACGAACAAAGAATTAGCCAATGACAAGCACCTAACTATCTGAGAAAACAATTGAGATTATAGAATAACAATGACACATACCACAAACACAACTCTACCTTGTAAAAAGCAGGAAAGCCTTCCAATTCAAAGGATGTTTTCTTTAAATTACAACACTGCTGGATGTGTGGGCACCCATCCCTGTGTACAAATTTGAAATATGGAATCAGCTTCTAAAATAAAGTGGTTGGTACTTCCTTTAAATTTTTAGCAATCCACACACTTACTTATCAGGTACTGTAGTTTATTTATTTATTTATTTATTTATTTATTTATTTATTTATTTATTTATAGGCGACATATCTACCCCATCTTTCTTATCCCTGGAGGGACTCAAGGTAGCTTTACACAAAGGCAACTCTTTGATGCCATTAAAAATAATATACAATTAAAATGATCATTTTAAATAGAATTATAAAACACATCAAAACATTTAAACCAATATCACCATTGTTAAACCACACTATCCATAACCGTAATCCGGGCCGTTCTAATAGTCCTTGCACATATTTGTATATCTGTGTATTGTACAATTTTCCCAAAGGCTTGATCAAAGAGCCATGTTTTTACTCTCTCATGGAAGGTCAGGAGGGAGGGGGCTGATCTAATATCCCTAGGGAGGGAATTCCACAGCTGAGGGGCCACCACTGAGAAGGTCGTGTCTCTTGTCCTCACCAGTCATGCCTGCGAAGAAGGCGAGACCGAGAGCAGGACAATCTTAATTGAGTAATTATTCCTGGCTATGTATAAATAAAGTTGTATTTCTGGATTAACTGATAACTTTCTTCTTTTTCCCTGACGGGCTGTAATTTTATAGTTAGTAATTTGAGTGCAGTGTATCAAATATCTATAAATTTTATTAGGACAGCATTGTGAAACAGCAGATAATGGATTTTGTAGCCCATGTAGATGTGTCCAAAGCCACACAAAAGCCAATAGCAAAAGAAAATTGAGGGCTACACAAATGTGTTTCACGAGGATGCTCCCCCAACACAGGGGACGGCAATACTGGAAGACTAAACTACTAGGTTTCTGGAACTGGTCTACACTGAATTTCTTTCCAAAATAAGTACAGGAAGGCAGTGAAGATACAAGCTTTTATCTATTTTGGCCTCTTGATGTTTCTTTGTTGAGGTGCAAATCTTTTAAATTGGCCTATAAAGACAAATTACAGTTGAAAAAGCACTTGCTTTAGGCATGTTAGCAGTCTTGCTCTGTCTGTCTCTTATGTGGATGGTTGAAGCTGAAATGAGCAGAGAGTCTCTACGACATTAAAGCAAGTGAACTGAGACATCTGGTGGAAGAATCCAGTCATTTCTTTAGAAATGTCTTTTTGAAAGCACTTAAGGCAGTGGTTCTCAACCTTCTTAATGCCACGACACCTTAATACAGTTCCTTATGTTGTGGTGACCACCAACCATAAAATTATTTTCGTTGCTACTTCACAACTGTAATTTTGCTACTGT